TGAGCCTCAGGGAGACTCAGTAGGTTTTAGTATCGTATTTTGATGTGTTTACTACACCGGTCACGACTGACTTCGATGAGCGTGGTAGAGGACTCCTGCTATAGTATGAATTTAATGAACCGGTAATATGTAATAGATAATGGTGGCAGGTTTTCCATCTTATGCCCCCTAAGGGACAAGTTTTTCCGTGTATACAAACACCAACCTCTAGATAATCTTGTGCTGTAACGACTTCACATTGACAATCAGAGCATCGCTCTCGGCACGGTTACACCGAAAGGCCTAAAGCACATGACATAAGCCACCAATACATCAGGTATTGCTTTCGGCAGAGTAGATTATATCTCTACTCACGATAATCCTGCCGACATTGTTAACTAAAAAGCCTAGCCCGCCCAAAACATGCCACATGTTTTATGTCCGATCTACACAAACAAACTCCAACCTCAATATAAACAGGTTTTTCACTTTACAATTAATAAATAGTTATTAAAAGAAACATCGGATTAAGATGTCTATAACTTTTTTAATTCCGAGACATAGGGTTTAGTTCGCACTACGCTATTTTGCAATGAAGTGGTAACCAGTACTTGTATGGTATATGTACAAACTATCTGAGATCTAGCAATGATATCTGCCATCTTGAATAATAGATTCTGTCTGGATTTATCGTGTTCATAGAAGGTTTGTCTGATAATTACTGGACATCCTCTGAAATTTTTCTTTTTGCTGCCTCGCTCCGGTTTTCCGGTTTTCCGGAGACGCGTTTGATGAGCGTCACAAGGATTGCGTGACAATCCGTGAATCCATAAAATTTGAAAGGGACTTCTCGAATACGCTTTCAGTGATTAAATCTTCAAAGTTCAAGTACAAACTGTGAAGCATCACTCCTTCAGTCCATCGTCGCGACCGCGGCGGTTTATCAGAACAGTATGTCAAAATTACCACCTGCACTAGTCCAACAATTCTGACCAATTTATACTCTTGCACTGAGTACCTACTTGAGCGCAACGAGATCCACTATAAGGGTCTCTGCTTATCGCAACTGCCCATCTGGAAAACCCGCTTGGAGACGACACCAAGCACTCAGATTTGGACAAAACTAAGAACTCAACCCAAGTCAATTGATTTAGCAAATTTCCCTCAGCAGAATCATATGTTTCTAACATAATGGACCTATCGACATGGAAGGCATGTGCAGAGAAATACTTCACGTCTCTTGCATATGCATTGAATGCAAGTTTGCCCTCATTGCTATCCGCTGCTAAGAATGTGGAAGTCTGCAGATGAATTCCTCTGTGACTGAACTGTTCACTCATAGTTACAGCGCATTGGGAAAAATCTGGAATTGTGTCAACTTTCAACCGCACAGGGTCTACAAACTGTCCAGAACCTGTATCGTTTGCCGTATGCCCGAATCTAGTGTGTATAGCAATATAAGGCTGACCCATGTCTAGTCCGATCAAGGACAATTGGTCTTTAGCAATCTGAAGGATAGTTGGATTAGGTGTGAATAGACTGCGCAATATCCAAGTACACAACAAAGGAGGTATTCCATCTCCAAACTGGTAGGCTTTCATCCCAGCAGCTGCTTGCCAAGCAGCTGAATGAGTAAAGTTTTGGCTTGAGAAATCAATCTTATTCGATTTGATCCTAACTACACCAATATCGCGCTGCAAAACAGATTCCCAATAGGTGCTATTGATAGATCTTCTGACCCCTTCAATGAACACCGTTTGCTCAGGGTTCGCAATTTCGTAGAGGATTACTGTTTTGAGTGGCGTTAGCCAATCGATAATGTTAGGATTTAAGGATTCATACAAAGGAAACGGAGTATTCCAGTCGATCACTAGAACTCTATTTGTAGATACCGCTAGCATAAAGAGAGAAACGATTCCACTTAGTCTGTCTCCGATTCCCCCGCAAAAAGATCTTTGATGTGTGCAAGTATATACCAGATATTTTGTATTTTGCTGTGGATTTTGCACTTGCTCGTTGTGGAATTTCGAGTAGTCTATAATTGCTGGTGGTATGCTTGCTCCTAAACTGGGCCAAAATTCTTTTTGGGTGTTTTGTATGGGCAACAACTCTTTCAACTGAAAGGTACTTCCTGCAACATGATGTAAATATACTAAACACATCATGCACGGAACACCTAAAAGACAAAACATGTATCTAACTTTGCTCACAGTCGAGAACTTCATCGCTCAATACAATTCTAGGATTCGCTTCCACATTTAAATTAGCGGACCTTGTTCAGTTAGTAGTCCCAATCTATTTGAAGTACACAACTGTTTGGATTTTTATATACAATACTGAATCGAGCTTGTCTCAAGTTTTTTTTTTTGGGGGGGGGGGTTTAGTCAACTTTTTCTATGTAGACACCGGGTATTTAAAAAAAAATATATACGTATTAAATCATGTATTTCCATTGGTCGTGACGTGTTTAAAGTTTTTTCTGAACCCGACTTTTCTTTTTCTCAACTGTGAAGCCGCATAAACAGAAGTAAATAGCTCGTCTAAAATTGTCAATAAGATTGATGGCTACTTTTATGGGTAACCAAAAGGATAGGAACCG